TATATATATATATGTATATATATATATATATATAGTGGGATGTATGTAAATCTTTCATTTTGATTTCTTGAGCTGGTTTAGTCAAAGAGAATGGTTACAACTCTCGCTGAAAGTATTTGCAACTTTCTCGCTCAGGTCATCCTTGGATTTGTGAGAATGGGGTTGCTCCTGATCAAGCTCTGGATTCTGCAGTCCTATCTCGTCTTAAGCAGTTTTCAGCAATGAATAAATTGAAGAAGATGGCTCTTCGAGTAAGTATAGTTTTGCTTAAGATTTCAGAAGACAAGAATTTTGTGTATCGTCAAAAACATTTCTACTTTTATGTTGCATCAAGTAAAAAAACTGTATATTTTCATTTTCTGTTGTATGACTATTCATACATGTTTTATGAGATAAAATATGTGATGTTTGTGCATTTATTTGCATTTTACTTTTGCATAAACTGACTAGTTTAGATATCTTTATGTCTGAGGATACTTTCTCTAGATTGTTAGTTATGCATGCATCATATAACTGGAAATAAATATTAATTGTTCTTTTGCGTTCCAGGTTATAGCTGAAAGCCTCTCGGAAGAGGAAATTGCAGGATTACGAGAAATGTTCATAGCTATGGACACAGATAGTAGTGGGGCAATTTCATTTGATGAACTGAAGGCTGGTCTCAGAAGATATGGCTCAACATTAAAAGATACAGAGATCCGTGATCTTATGGATGCAGTGAGTTGTTGTCAATCATCTGTGTTAATTACTAATGGAGATGGAGTTAATTGAATACAAATTCCTTCCAGAACATTTTTTTATTAAATGGAGAATTTATCTAGAAGCAAGAAACATATATAAACCGTGGTTCTGCTGTGATTATTCATATATTGAAGTTTAACTTCATGGGGATAAAATTTAAATTTATTTTGGGAATCTCTTCATGAGCATCCACCTTGATTTCTTTAATGAATAAAATGTCAAATATTTTTTGACTATTGATATGGGGCTATTTTATAGTACTTGAGTTTATAAAAGCGCCAAATTACTCTACAGTGGGATTATTCCAGCCGATTTTAAAAAACTTTTTGGACTAAATTCATACTTTTATAGTCTGTGGGACTAAAATGACCCCCTGTAAAGAGTCATGGACTATTTTAACACTTTTCTCTTCCTTTAATTTTTCCTTGGAGATTTCCATTAAATTTTAATATGTTAAACTCATCTTGATTTGTTGACTGTTGCATGATTTGATTAGTTGTTACCATTTGCATCGTCTTTAAAATAAAAACTTTGTAGGCTAGCAGATTAATCTCTTCAGGCTTCAATTAATTACCATGAGTAGAGCAATGCTAGTTATTGTTTGCATTCAATATTTTCATGCCTAGAAGAAAATTGAACATTTTGGGATATTTTAACTGATAGAATGTGCTTCAGGCTGATGTTGACAAGAGTGGCACAATTGATTATGGGGAGTTTATTGCTGCCACCGTTCATCTCAATAAGCTGGAGCGTGAAGAACACTTAGTGGCAGCCTTCTCATACTTCGATAAGGATAGAAGCGGGTACATTACCGTTGACGAGCTTCAGCAAGCTTGTAAAGAGCACAACATTGCTGATGAGTTCATTGAGGATATTATTAAGGAAGTTGATCAGGATAATGTAAGCACCTTTTTTTGCATCCATTTTTTGGCCTATTTTTTACGGCTAATGATTTTTCTGTAGGGTGAATTTTTCTGCTAGATGAATAGCAAAATAATGGAGTAAAATAGCAAAATAGTTCCTTAACAATTTACATGGGGGTTATTTTTGTCCAAGAGTCTATAGAAGTGCCAAATTAGTCCTCTGACTCCTTATATTGGGGCTGTAATAGTCCCCATGGAAGACTATCAGATCCCCAATTTAAAAAATCTCGGGACTAATTTAGCACTTCTACAAATTCTGGGACTAAAACGGCCTCATATAAATAGTCAAGGGACTATTTTAACGCTTTACTAAAAAATATTTTATTAGAATTATTTGCTAGATTATTGTGGGTGTTTATATCAATATTCAACAGAGAAGGTAAATAAGCTGAACAGTTAAGATTTACCTATAATGCCGGTATTTGCAATAAAGTTTGGACTATTTCTTTTGGATAATATTTGGTGTCAATTTTGAATTATTTAAGGCTAGATTTGATTTTAATTTTATATTTTGTAGCTCTAGTTTAATAAATAGGAATTATTTCCATTTATTTTAGATCAATTGATGAATGAATTAAGATTGAATCTTCACCTGTTCTTTCTTCTTTATGCTGGTGAACTCCAAATTTCTCTTCCTCTCCTCTTATCTGTTTTTGCTCAATAAGACTATAAACTGGACAAAAATGAATGCCAGCCGTACGCAGCTAGCAACCTTGCCCATCACCCCTCTCTGTGCTGTTGAAATTAGGTATTTTCACTCCAAGCATAAAATTAGGGGAACGTGCCACCCAATTCCTATGTATTTTACATATCTAGAACCTAAACTTTACTTTTTACATTTGTAGCACTCAAAACTTCTATATCACACTATAAATAACACTATTTTAGGGGTGAAAATGAGTCGTGCTGGCTTGAGCTCGGCTCGTTAACAAGCTCAAAAGCCGAGCTTATCGAGCCACAAGCTCGAGCTCATACTAGAGCTCGTTTATTAAATGAGCTCGTTCTCGAGCTTGGGCTCATACTGCAGCTTGTTTATTAAACGAGCTCGAGCTCATTCTGGCTTGGCTCGTTGGCTCGTGAGCCGACTTGATTAGCCAACTACTAGTCATTTCAATGCATTTTCTAGTAGCTCCCGCCTCCTCTTCCGACG